ATTACTAATCAGTACCTATTCACTTTTAGATGAGTTATTTATCCGAGTAAATGCACTTATCTGGGTAAATGTTTTTCATGAATATAAATAATTTTATCCATGTTTTTTTTATTTTCCAGGTAAATAAGACAATGACTGTTTTAGCCATTAAAATCCATTATTAAAGGGGGCATTTTTATCCGATTCAAGTGTTGGTTCCCACCTGGGAGGTGGGTATCACTTACACTGAAAAATAAATTTTCCCTAATCCTCACATAATCTGAAAAAGAACACAAAATCCAACAAACGAATGCCCTCTCATTGTTTCTCAAAACAAAAATACAAAAAAAAAAGCATTCTTGATTATATATGTGTTTTTTGTTTTTAAAATTGAAATCAGAAAATAATCAAACTTGTCATCTCTCTCTCTCTCTCTCTCAATGTTTTAAAAACTGGCCAGCCGGATTGGACGGGTCAGACCATGCCACATCAGCCATATGGATGTGTGTGTGGGTGGGTATGTATAAATAATGTATAATTTTTTTGAGTTGAAATAAATAATGTATAATTATGTTTATATATAATATATGAAATATTTTATATTTAATTTATGTTTTTTAATTCAGTTTTAAAATATTTTATTTGTAAAAAATATAAAAAAATTACAAATTGAGGCCAAAAAAAGGGTTTTGGGGAAAAAAATAACAAGGCAAGATTGGCACACATAGATCTCAAAAAATTATCCAAATAAAAAAAAATCACTTCAATCAGACATCAAAATACAAAATATGCAACCCACAATCTGGTCACCAAATCAAATAGATCAACGATCTAACCATCCAAATCAAACGGATTTTTACCAAATCAACAGTCTTTTAACCTTTTTCTAGATTTTATTCAAGCCAAACCTAAAATCTTAACCGGATGACAATTCGAGCAATTCAACCTATCGAGTGAATGGCCGGTTGAAAATATTCCTCATTTTCTCTCTCTCTCAACACATTTCAGCCATAAAAAAAGAAATAACGCCACCAGTCCAAATCAGACATTTACATAGGAGTGAAGCCTTATTATTTGTTCACATGTTTAATGATCCAATCCATTATCCATGTCGGCTTTCCATCTTGCACAAGGAATTTCCCAATTCCCAGATAATTTCAGCCGTTGAACTTTCAGTTTTGTAATTTAAAAGCTGCACGTAAACCGACACTCTCCTTCTCCTTCTTTCTGCTTCCCCACGTCACATGACAAGGGGCTGCTGCCTACTTAAAAATAAGTGGGACCCTCTTGTGCTCCAAGATTAAGCTGTCCTATAGTGTCAAACTGCAATTTGCAATTCAAACCCTAACTTCCTTGTTTATATGGTCTTCCATAGACCATACCAATCAAGGAAATAAGACTCCATTCAAATGGCGTAGGCAATTGAGTCTACAAACCTCAATTCAGATGAAAAATTGGCCTTATCTTCAATTCCATTCTTTTCATTTCAATCCATATAACCCCTTATATGTGCATGGATAATGATGATGATAATGGTAAGAATTTCGGGAAATAAAAAAAAAAGAAAGAAAGAAAGAAAATAGAGTGTACGCCACCTCTGTTATACACAGATAAGACATTTATTTTTTATTTTTTATGAGTCCCACAATATAAGCATGTTTGCATATATAAAAATATAAAGGGAAAATTTACGACATTAGAAAGACATGGCACAAGAAGTGTTTTGACTGCGAATTTTGATAAATTACATACTTGCTGGTTGGTCTTAAATTTTTAGGATATCATATCTTTCCGGTGTCATAGTTGAACCATATATAAATACAAAGTATATTGTATTAAGGTTGGATAAGGTTATCCTAGACGTGTTCAAGACCAAAACCAATCTTTGAGTGAATTGTCAACCCAACCATTTTCCAAATCCTAGTTATTAGGGAAGAAAACATTTTCCAAGTCATAGGGCTTTTACCAAATTTAAAAAATAAATAAATAAGAGAGGTAAACATACCCTGAGTTTCAAATTTTTAAAATATACCCTGAATGTTTCAAACTAATGTGGGTGGTAGGCTACTGAGAATTCTGGACTGCCTCTAACCAGATGGTTCGAAGTCATCTAAGTTCAAAATATATTCTAAATTTTTCAAACTCACGACTCATGAGGAGTGGGTCTTTTGTTATAAGGTATATTCAACGTTCAAAGTATCGATTACGCCGGTAGGGCGTATCGGCCTGTATCAATACTCTTTTTTTTTTTGTTTTTTTTTCTTTTTTTGAATCTGGTTCAGAGGGGCCGGGTTAAGGCTGGTCTACGCCCTGAACCACTTGCCGGCCCAAAACACTCCCTGTAAGGATGTATCGAGAAGGCTCCGATACATATCGATATTTTGAACCTTATGTATATTTAAGCCTTTTGGAAAAATTCAAAGTATGTTTAAGTCAATTTATAAAAAATCGTTTACCCCAAAAAAAACAAATAAAAAAAGTTTTGGGGTAGGGATGGTCATTTCTATATCTGGCCAAAAAATTTCCGAAATTCGGCCTAAGTTTTGTATGCAGCCCAAGTCGAGCCTGTATTAATTTGAAAATTTCTAGGTCCATACTTGGGCCCAATACTTTATGCCCGGCCCAACCGTAGTTTGCAATCATAGTATCATAAAATGTCATTGTTTGTAAATAGCAATTCTTGGAAATATTTTAATCTTTAAAAGTAATCACTGAATTAAGACATTTAAAAAACTAAAAAAAAAATCAAAGTTCAATGTCTTTTCATCTTTTTATCCTTTAGTTTTTACTCATACATGTGGCATATTCATAGGCCCAGAACCAGGCTTGGCTTATATTTTACGCCCGTGGCCCAGGCAAGGAAAGGCCTGGCCCAGACTAAAGCCCTTAACACAGTCACAGATGTTAAGCCCATCCCAGACCATGATCACCCCCTTGTCTTGGGATCTTGGGGCAGGTTAGTTACAGTTTAGCCCCCAATACAATCCTAAGACTTCATGCAAAGTGAAGCCCAACCTCACACACTGACCAAAAACCCATAATCCCCATAGATATGTGTGTGAAAAGACTTTCCCATTCCTTATATGGAATCAAGGCCATCCAGCAAGAGATTACATCTCCGCCCCACAGCATATTCTCGCCATGTATTGGGAACATCTCCCAATGATAATATCAGTCCCAATGATATCATCATCGGGAGATGTTCCCAATGCATGACAGGAATGTGCTGTAGGGTGTTGTGGGGCGGCTCCTTGTGTGTGTGTGGGTGGGGTGGGGGGGGGATGTGAACTCATCCAGCAAACAGGGGACCAGATAGATTGGCCATGTTTTTTACCCTACGGCTGCAAAAGAGTGTAAATTCTGGTTTAATTTTGTTTCATATTTAACTTTGTCTTATATATTTGTAAAATAGGAAATAGAAGACGTCACTTGCCTTGTTTGAAAGGGAACCGAGGAGATCACTATGCACATCAAATGCATAGTGGGCCCCAGTCTTATGGCGGGTCCCATAATGTATTGGGGAGGATTTTTGTTGGCTGGAGATTCAGACTTGTGAGAAGGAGGATTATTTGCTATGGAGTGAGGTGGGAAACAAGATGATGTGGCCCCTACTTTATATGACAGTGTGCATTGAGGTAGGAGAAAGATAGTTCAAATGAGGCTGCATTTGTTGTGATGCAAATGCTGAATCGGGGTATTTATGTATCCTGGTTCACGTTTGCGAGCATTTGGTTGTCATACAAAAACATAATGATTAATATGTCAAACATGTATTTTTAGACATCTTTGTATCATGATAAGTGCACATTACTGTACCCATTTTTGGATATAAACTTGTGCTCTTTTGATAATGGGTGTGTTCGACTGATAATTTAAGACATTAATGATGGAGCCTACATTTTGCACTGATTTTAAACAAATAGGAAGAATACAAAAAATGAGTTGCACTTTACATTCTTGAACCAAAAAGAGAGTATTTATGCAGAGTACATATTTACGTTTGCATCACAACCAAATGCAGCCTAAATATCAAACAAATAAAAGATAAAAAATAAAAATAAACTTAGAGAGAGAGAGAGAGCATCTACAGGATGCCCATATAAATCAACGTGCTAGGTTAGCTTAATTACTGGGAGACAGACAGACAGTCCCAATCGAAGAAACAGGTGCTAATCCAGAACATCCCTCTTTCTGATATCGTTGCAGATTGAGCTTGATTGGTCTAATATAAACCACTCTCTGGTTCAACAAATGGTCCATTCAGTTAGTATAACAGATAGCAAAAACTAACAAACTGTACCCCATAAGGCCAAAATCCCACCAATTCATGAGTTGTAGATGTGCTTATCTGCCATTGAAAATGATCAGACACAGAGAGAGTTGATAAATGCTAAAGATATAGGTCTGCTTCACAGTTTTCAAACATTGTGAGGTTCAAGTTTGATTTTTTTTAATTAAAAAAAGAAAAAAAAAAGCCTTATCTCCGCTTGGAGAAGTATAAAGCATAGGGTAGGGTGACTTGAACATCTTGCCCTGAGAAAATGGGAAAATGAAGATATGTCATTTTTGGAAGGTAAGATACATCTGCGGTCTAAATGGAAAATTGAAGGGTGTTAATATGGGCTACTCTGCCACCAAAGCCCAGCCTATTTAGTGTTCGATATGCAAAATGGGCTTTCTATAGGCTTAACTTTTCAACCTTTTTATAAGCTTAGATTTGATATGAGATCCATTGCATGATCCCCAACAATTCAGTCTTTGACTCTTTGTGTGACCAATGGTGGAAATGAAGCAAATTTGGGCTGAACCCAAACCAGCCCATTAACTCCTTACTTCTTGGCTTCTTGTAATTGTACTCCCTTTTCAAGCAACACCCATGCTAAGATTGGTAGGTTAAAACAATTCCCAAGGCTTGACAGAGGAAGGGTGATTTGCAAGACATGCCATTTAGCCTTGTACTTTAAGGGCATTTCCATCTCCTCCCTTTTTATTGAAGGATCCTACGTCTCATTTCTCCACCTCTCAAACAGAAATGAGTCTCAAAAGAGCTTCTCTAACTTTCCTATCTTCCCTTCTAGTTGTTTCCATAGCCACACAGTTCATAGTTCCAAGCCAACCATGTCTCAAGTACCTCACTGATCTAAGTTCCATTATCACCTCATCACCCATTATTTCAACAGTCATCAAATATTACCTTGGGGACCATCCCCACGACCACCACCACCACCACCATAAGAAGGCAAAAGACTCTATTTGTGACAGCTTTCCACCTGACTTCCCTCCCCCAGACACTAATACCACCTCAATTTTTTGCGTAGATCAAAGTGGGTGTTGTAATTTCACTACAGTTCAATCAGCTGTTGATGCAGTTGGAAATTTTAGCCAGAAAAGAACTATTATATGGATCAACTCTGGAATTTACTTGTAAGTTGGCTTTTATTTTTACATATTTTAAGTATCTAAATGGCTACCCAGTAACTAATCAGCTCAAGTAAATACAGTGAGAAAGTGATGGTACCAAGGACCAAACCCAACATCACATTTCAAGGACAAGGGTTGGGATCAACAGCAATCGTGTGGAATGACACTGCAAACTCTTCACATGGCACATTTTATAGTGGTTCAGTTCAAGTTTTTTCCAACAACTTCATTGCTAAGAACATAAGCTTCATGGTAAGAGACATGATCATTACACCATTCAATAAATATTAAGACAAAAAGGGTTATGTACAAGTCCCATTTTGTGTGTGTGTGTGTGTGTGTGTGTGTGAGAGAGAGAGAGAGAGAGAGAGAGAGAGAGAGCAATTAAATTGAAGCATGAACACCCTTACATTAATGGTTGCTTATCTAAGCTTACTTACCTCATTCATGCCAATACAAGAATGTAGCTCCAATGCCCAGCCCTGGTGATGTTGGAGCTCAAGCAGTGGCCATTAGGATAGCAGGAGATCAGGCTGCCTTCTGGGGCTGCGGCTTCTTTGGAGCACAAGACACACTTCATGATGATAGAGGTCGGCATTACTTCAGGGATTGCTTCATCCAAGGATCCATTGATTTCATCTTTGGAGATGGAAGGTCATTATATGAGGTATTTCTCTTTTCCTTACAATCAACCAGTCATCAATAATAAACACTTGAGATGAGCTATGGCATATGAGTAGTCATTAAGTCACTGATGAGCACAAAACTAAAATAGAAAGAATGGAGAGGTATGTAAGATACGTTGAATTATTTTTTTTTCACACCCAAAAGAACAAAAAAAAAATTATAGGTTGAATCCAAAGTTCATATTGTAAAGCTCAAAACCATATTGCAGAATTGGGTACTATTAATCCATATCTTGCTTTCTAGTGAAAGAAAAGTGAAAATAACTCTTCTTTTATCTATAAATCTCTGCTTGAAGCATTGGAAATGTGTTTCCTTGATTTGGGCAAGTTCTTTCCTTCACAGGAATGCCATGGGATTCTCTAAAAGCAAAAACCTCTGCACACATTCTTAAAGCATGGGAATCCAGCCATACATTGGGAACATCTCCTCATGAACTTAACATATATGTATAGGAGATATGCCCCGCGTGCGGCTGGATGCTATGTGAGCAGAGATTTTGACTGCAGGAGATCCAGACTTCACAAGAAGAAGAAGCTCTTTGTGTGGGTAATAAACTATTAAGAGTCACCCCCTTTAACCCTTAACTATCTATCATTTACCATTTCAGAACTGCCAGTTGATATCCATAGCTAGCCCAGTACCAGTAGGACAGAAGAGCATAGATGGAGCAGTTACAGCACATGGTAGAGCTTCCAAGGATGAGAACACTGGCTTCTCTTTTGTTAACTGCAGCATTGGAGGGACTGGAAGAATATGGCTTGGTCGAGCATGGAGGCCTTTCTCCCGCGTTGTCTTCGCTTACACTACCATGACTGATATCATCACCCCGGAGGGATGGAATGACTTCAATGATGTTACCAGAGATCAGTAAGTAGCTAGTAGACTCAACATAAACACAAGTAATACTCTGTTTGGATAAACTTTTTCTTTTGAGATTTGGCTGTGGAAAACAGTTTGGTAAGAGTTTTTTTTTTAACATAATAATCTAAAGCCAAAACACTTTTAAGCCACAAAATTTGGGCTTTCAAAGAATCTTATCCAGACACAACCTTAGTTCTTCCTCCTCCTGCAGGAAGCTAGGAACTTGTTTTCAATTCAAGTTAATTAATTGATGGGTTATCTGAAACAGGACCATCTTCTATGGGGAATACATGTGCTCAGGTGCAGGAGCAAACATGACACTGAGGGCTCCTTATGTCCAAAGACTCAACGACTCTCAAGCTTCTCCTTTTCTTAATTCATCTTATATTGATGGAGATCAATGGCTGCAGCCCTTCCTCTAGGGGATCTTTTCTTTCTTTTCCTTTTAAGATTCTATTTTATTATTCAGATTGTAATAATATCATCTATCTATCTATCTGTCTGTATATCTATCTGTTCATTCAATTATCCATTCATTATACTCTATGTAAGTTGTTCACAAATGAAATGTTGTTTTTGTTCTGTACTTGGCATATTTTTTGTATGAAAGTGTTTTTTTTTTTTTCTCTTACTTTTGAAAGTGTTTAAATTAAGATGAATTGATGCTAGGAAAAACATATTTAGGCTCAGTTGGGTTGCAGTACAAATTTCATTTGCTTTAGCGCAAAAAGTCGGTGCAAATTTCACATTAGTTTTTGAGATGTAAAACGAATGAGACAAGAAACATGAATTTTGCATCAAGATAGAGTACAAATCATAATTACAAACAAAGGTATGTGAAACTGAACTGGTGCAAAATTTATTGAACCACAAAAAAAGGTGATTTGATCCGGTTCAATAAGGATTGATCAACAGGTCTATCAAGTTCAATAGACCACCAAACTAATCTGACCCAATTTGAGTATTAGTTGATTCTTGGTAGTGCAAAATTTCAGTTTCTCAGTTTCAGATCCAACGTTCCCAGGCAAAAGTGTTGCTTCCATCAATTGGGACAGAAGATTCCAATGCAAAGGGCCTACACCTTTATTATGCATCATGACGTATATTCCCTAGGCTACTTTCATTTTACACAGAACAAATCCGTTCGATTGACTATTTTACCCCTAAACTATTCATTTATGACTTCTATGTACCAAAAGACAAGCCAATAAGCAATTCAGCTGCTATCAAACGGCCGGCCCAGCGAAACGTCTGAAGAAGCTCTATTCCAGCTCGAAGGACAGCGGCCTCTCCGTGCAGCTGTGCTCGTCGCCCGGAGAGGAGAATCAGGAGAGAGACACCACCGCTCCACCAGGTCCTCCACAACCTAATTCAAGGGTAACTTCGTAAGTTTGACGGAAGCACATACCCTCCCTTCTCTCGGCGACCACACTTCAGAGTTGGAGTTCTTTCTCTGTACTGCTGTTTTGCAATGTTGGGAGCCATTACCTTCCCTTCCTCTGCAACTCCACCGACCTTACGGGTACCTGTTTTGGGTTATTCGAATGTTAGAAACTCGCGATTGCTAAAGCTGAGAGCGTGCCTTTTTGATTTTCCTCTCGCAAGCAAAATTATCGTTAGAAGTGAGTATTTCTCATGCTTAACTTATGACTGGAATTCTAATTTTCCTTTTTTATGGGTAAATTTTACTCCTTTCTCATCTGGGTCTTCCCAGAATCGTTGAAACAATCACCGAATTTGAGTTCTTAGTACGTCTTTCCAACATTTTGGCCATACCCATTTGTTCCATTTTCATGTCCTCAATTATCTTATGTTGTTTGGCTTTTGAATGGTCTCAATTGTTAGGTACTTGTAAACTGGGTTTGAAGTTAAAACTTAAATTGGATACGTCTTAAATGTGGAATTGAAAGATTGGTTAGATTATGAATTTGGGTGTCTTCGTCTTTATTTTCTTCATTTAGGAAGAATCGATGCTATTGGTTACAAATAAAAAAAAAAAATCATTTGAAGAATGTATTGTTTTGATGCACCTTCAATCTATCTGAGTTTTTTTTTTTTTTTTTGGTCCTGCAAAATCATGTAACCCTTGGTGATAAATGTAACATCACTTTTTTTGTCTCTGGACCAAGAATTTGCCCTTGAGGTAGAGCTGCATTTACTCATTAGTAGATGTCCAAGTCAAAGAATAAATTCAAACTTTGCTTGCCTTGGAGGATCTGATTTCATGTTGTTAAACTTGTGGCATGGTTGGACGTAGTTTATCATATATCCAGTAATATTTCGGTCTTATTTGTAGGCTGGGGCATCTTAGGATTGATTGGGAACTAATATTTTATGATTCCTTTAGGCCCTGTTTGGTTTGATAGAAAATAGGAGAGAAACAGAAAGTTGAGGGAAAGTTCTTAACAAATTTTGTGAAACTCTTTAAGAACATTCCCTCAATTTCCTGTTTCTCTCTTATTTTTCTGTCAAACCAAGCATAACCTTAAGGAGTGAGGTGCTAGAAGAAGACCATCAACAGCACCTGTAAGAAGAAGCAATTTGTTGTAAGTTGAAGGGGCTAGAAGGGCTACAGGTAGACCAAAAAGGACATGGGTAGAAGTAATAAGAAATGATTTAAGCACCAATAATTTAACAATGGATATGGCTTTAAACAGAATGGAATGGTGAAACAGGATTCATGTGCTTGGGATAAGGCTTGGATGGTGATGATGAGTAAGGTGCTAGTCTGCACATTCATGAACTCGATGGTTATATGAAATTAGTTTCCTTGCTGGCTAATGGGTGGGCTCCTGGCAGTGCTATGAGATATAGACTTCTAGGAGTGTTGTATCAATGTTGTGAGTTGTGACAAGACGTATTATTTTTGTTGGATACCAATGATACTAAATTTGTAAGTATTTCTTTATAGGTGCCTGCCTTCACTTTATATAGTCTCAGGTTTTAACCAGACAACCTATTTGTGAATAGAAAGTCTTTTCCTTCTTTTGTTTCATTCTTTGTGTCACATCACTTAGAGTCCACTCCAGTCTTATTTACTATTTAGATTCAGTGGGTGATTCATCATCCTTCTCTCTACTGAGTTCTTGAATGAAGGGTGCCAGAAAGCAATATGCAAGAAGCTTAAGGATTAAACTGCTCTTTTTAAGATATTTCTTTGATATCGTAAGGGGGTTATCATCTGAAAAGTTCTCACTGTTGTTGGGCTCTGCCTCCTAATGATAGCAGCCTATGATACTTAAATGCCTAGTGTACTTGTATTGGAAACAGTACATATGGCATGGATACTTCATGGGCATTTCTAATGTTAACTTTATAGCATTAACATTTTCAAAATGTTAAAATGATATTTTCTAACAAATCATAATATAAAGGAATTTGTATATGATAAAGCTTAATTGAATTTGACACAATAGAGGTATTGAGAAATGATATTTAATTTCAAAAGCATGATATAAGCATATTAAATGGGATGGCCATACCTGTATCCAATTATCCATGTCCACTTTCTTAGGAAATGGAGTCTTATACCCATTTCCTATATTTGTGTTGATGTTGGTTTGTGAATCTAGGTACCAAATGTAGCAACTTGAAGATCTCTCTAGCCATCTCCCTAGTTGTATCAATGTGGTAGGATTTTTTTATAGTGATGATAGACAATCTACAAATGCTTATTTATCAGTGGAAATGAACATCCCAAGGCACTTTTCAGCAGGTTGGAGGAGAAAGAACATAGACAGAGGAATGGATGAAGAGAATAGTCCACAGTTGTGTTACCCAGATATGGTATTGTAACATCCTGCTCTACCAAGTTTTGAGTTTTTTGAAGCAAAAAGTGAATCAAGCTTCAATGGAAAATCAGGAAGGTTGCATGTATGTGTGGTGTGTATGCGTACATAACCTTTTATAGGGAGTAGATCTGCTAGTTGAGTTGTTTAGAGAACTTTAGATGACCCAAGAATCTTATAAAAGTCTATAATATTTGGGTCCCAAAAGGACTCCAAATGTTCTCTCTATAGCCTATTTGCAGGAGAAATTTTAGCTGAAAAGACCTAGCCATATGACTGAATACATGTATGATCCAGAGGGTCCCTTATTGGAGGGATGGTTTAGATCAGCCACATTACCCTTCCATTTTGCAGAATTATGCTGGGTCATGTAGGACAGCTCCTTACTTGACCTTACTAGAATATATTCAAGTACACACACACTTACCCAAGTGGTGATGGGTAATGGAAGGCAAAGAAAGATGCTGTGCTTGGATTTAATGTTTACAGAGATGATTAGGAGTATCTATCATCTTTGTGAGGGTTGGAAGACCTTGGGATGCTTTCTTGACATCACATCCGTGTACATACATGGATATTATGATTAACCTCTGTTTCAAATTGATCAATAAGGAGATCTTTGGTGTTCAATTTTAGACACCATGCATCCAATCAAAAAAAAAAGTAGACATCATGTGCCTGAGAGAGAGGTGGCCAGTATATTCACCTTAAATTATTAGAGAATTTTCATTTTGAGGTAGAAATGGAGGGACCTGAGAGGAATATTTTCAGTTTTGTTTTTGTGAGTCCATGGTGATGGTATTGTTGGATCATTCAAGTTTTAAAAATGGATACTTTTGCATGGTTGCTACCCATGGATGGTCTGTCATCATCTCAAGGATTGAAGTTTTCATGTGGAAAGTTAGAGCAAAATGTGTATAATGAGATAAGGTGGTTGTCCATCACTGTTTCCTTTGCTTGCAAATGAGATTCCAAGCCACAGGTCGATCTCTTTATTATTGGTTTAGGAGTTTATGTGATTTCCTTCATATCCCTTGGTCAAGGATCTGTTTGAGGAATCATAATGTATCTTAGGAACCACCTGGCTTTTTCTTTTATCAATGATAAACCACCCGATTCGCTAGCAGAAGTGGAGTAGGTAGGACTAAGTTGTATAAGGGCTACTTCTGTGGTGTATGGGGAGCTGCCTGGGTCAGCCCCAGACGGCCCTTTTTTTTGTGGGGGGAGGGGGTCAACTGGGTAAGCTACTTCTGCATCCACTCTTTTTTGGTAAGAATATTCCTTTAGTCTTGTTAACAAATAAAAAAATGGTTCCATATGTCATGAGTTAAAAGTCATTTGGAAACAATGCAGTAAAAGGATATCTGAAGAAGTTTTTTCCCTTAAGAAGGATTTTTTGTGGAATGTATATTTATTTTTACATTTTGAATTGGATACATATTCTGGAGGACCTCTTTGTGTTCTCATACAAGGAGGATGCAGAAAGTTCTCCTTTGTTTTTTTTCCTTTTCACATTATTGAGAAATTATCTTTATTTTGTACCACATATTACTACAATAACCGAAAGAAGAAAAGGAAAATATCTGTTAGCATCATGGTTATAGGTACCAAGATATTGATTAAATACTTCATTCTATTTCCTTGGGAACATAGATCTTACTCTTTCTAATCTTTCCAACTTGTCATGATCTGTGTTTGTACATTATGCTGCAGATTTGTCCCACTCAACTAGTGAAGCCAAACTGCAAAAGGAGTTCTCTAATTTTGGTGAGGTAGTAGAAGGTACATGTATTTCTAGATTGCTATTAATATTACACATATGTTAGGAATAAAAATAATGACTCTAAAAGCATGGTTTGTGCATGTGATGTAACTCCTCAAACACTCACTGACAATCATGCATTTCCGTGAATCTGAAGGATTCAGTCCAACAAATTAGAAATTTCAAAAAATAAGAATATGCTTTCTGAGACAGTGTGTGATGTGCAAATAATTCTCTTTGTTGAATACTATTTCTATCCTCTAGGTGTTAGCCATATGACAAGGAACCAGGACTTGTGTGAGTATCATAGATAATATTAGTTCTAAAAGGGAAACTTTATCTGAATGCTGATACATGTGTCTTGCTTTCTTCTTCATAAACTATGGAGGTCTACTTATTAGTGTGTAATTGGGATGTTGATGTTAGTATGGAATTCATTTAAACAAATTATAAAAATGGTATATGGGTAATGGTTGGATTGTCCTTGTTACATGATATCTTAATGTTTGGATTTCAAAATTTAATTGTCTGTTGATCTCAGACATATATTGGCATTTTCCGAAAATTAATTTGGTATGGTGAACAACCCAGCCATGTTCTAGAATATGGATTCTCCTTAGCAGGAGAGCTGCAACATGTTTACACTTATGTATAGTGGCTCACTGTACATATTTATATTTGTACATCCTTATATCATTTTTTATAAGTAAACATCTTCATATCATTTTTAGAAATCAATACAATACTTTCCTTTTTCTCAAAAAAAAAAGGAAAAAAAGAATATGGGTTCTCCCTATCATATAGGATCTTGACATTTGAATATGGATCTGAATAGAATGACTACTATATACAGACTCAAATTTTTTTCTTTTTTTTAGAATTAAGCTTTCTATGTTTTCTAGTTTTCGAGATTGGTGAGTTGAGAGGCTCTTACAATTGGAACTTAAATGACAACTGTAACAGATATTATTTGTGGGGAAAGAGTCAAATACTTTGCACATATGCTGGTCCTGACATGACTAGTACAGTATAATAGATTTGTCAACACCAGAAGGTTGCCTATAAGCTTTTCAAATTGGAAAATCGCCCCTCTGAGGTGCCTCAACAAAAAGATGTTATCTAGCAATGCTATCTGGACATCATCCAAATGAAAACCTCTTATCATTCAAGTACATAACAGTTAAATTTATTTTTAATTATTAAATATTAAGTTAAGGTTGAACCTAAACAAAACAAGTTGCATCATCCCCATTTTGTATGGGTTCACAAGGGTGCATTAGGATAATTTCAAGGACAATGGGTATGATACCTACAACTAACACTCTTGTGGTTTAAATTTCATGGCAGTTAAGATTGTCAAAGATGAAGCTACAAAGAAGTCGAGGGGGTATGCATTTGTTCAATATACCTCTCAAGATGATGCAATGCTAGCATTAGAAAACATGGACTGCAAGGTCATGCTTTGCCCATCTGTTTTTCCTTTCTTTATCAGATAGTCAAATGTCTAGCACTCAACTTTCTGTTTCTTTCAGTATATTGATGGCAGGTTGGTTCATGTGGAACTAGCAAAACCTGTAAAGAACACCTTTGGAGCATACCCAAGATCATCAGGCCCTCCACCCACTACATAACAGAATTCACTTGGGTCAGTTAGCAAAAATACTGACCTCATAATGTTCAAATGTTGCCCGTGCTTCAACATGAAGCAACTCCCAACTATACAAGTTCAAAGGAAGTGAAGTCGTACCATTTGACTATAAGGGAGTCATTATGAAGCCACATTTCTAAGATCAGAGAATTACAAGAAATACTGCTTAATTGGTACTTAGTTTTTTTCTCTTCTTTTCTTAGCTAGGTAAGCATTCAATATTGCAAGACAAAATGTTCACTATGTTGCAGTATTCCAGCTATTAGTTTTGTTCGGCAAGCACTGATACCCTTTAGGCTTTTAGTCAAATGGTGTCACAACACTTTCTTAGATATTCCAGACTTCCAGTTAAGGTTTATTATAAATGAGATAGTATTAAATTTGTCTACCTGATCTATCTGTGCGGTTTGAAACACCCATGACATGGGAAGCTTTTTGAATGGCCTGAATTAAAGAGATGGTGAGCCACTTGTATGCAATTCAATGGCAGAAAACTTTGGCATTCTTTAACTGACATGCAACAAAATGTACAGTTTTTTTTTTTTTTTAACCAGGAACAAGGTTTTTTGGTAAATGACCAGAAACAAGATCTATAGATGAATTCTGGCACAACACATGAGTTAGACCATGCATCATAAATTTCTAGAATTGGAGCCCAAGTTACGACCCAGCTGATCCCATGTGCGTCTTCTGTAACCAGGAGAAAGAATCTGTAGAGCCAAGGTTTAAAGTATTGGGATGCATGATGTGAAAAAAAAAAAAATTGTGTATTACAGGATTTAAAAGAGCAATAATATTCATGGTTAGAATCACTTTCAGGTTTCAAAATTTTAACCACATAATACAGATGGCCTAGAAGGGTATCAACAACTTAAAAAAGCCTTATCTCCTAAGTCGCTGTAGTTGTAGTATCTGTGGGTTCAAGAATCGTGACGGGCATTGGTGTGTAGAGTGGGGGTTTTTGACATTTTGAATGCTTTTAGCTCTGTAGTGAAAATCAGAAATCTGCATTGGGTTTGTCCGTACTTCTCCAAATTTTTGGGAGAATGATGGTTTAGCCCAGACTCAGAATTTTTAGGCCCAAAGTACTTGTCAGCTCGAAATTGATGCCAATTCACGAGTGGGCATTGGTGTGTAGAGTGGGGGTTTTTGACATTTTGAATGTTTATAGCTCTGTAGTGGAAATCAGAAATCTACATTGGGCCTGTCCGTACTTCTCCGAAATTTTTTTTTTATATGGTTTGGTAATTCAATCGTGGTGAGATTTACTGAATCCATTCAACTCTCCAACAGCTGGCTACTTGCATGGTTTGAAGAATCAGCATGGATTTGGCTCAACCCAAACCTGACCCGAATGACTCCACCTCAACATGGGTTTGGCTCAACCCAAACCTGACCCGAATGACTCCACCTAAAACCCAACCTGATTCGATCCTACCCAAACCTGACTCAAGTCAACCTAGAGGAGGATGGGATACCACATCTATCCTGACAGGTCTATACAATGTTCAAAATTCTGATACATATTGGATCATATTGGCTGATACATATCATATCGGGAGTTTCCCAACACGCCTCTCCAGGGCATGTTTTGGGGTCTAACCCGGTTCAAGGGATAGACGGGCCTTAAACCGATCCCTCTGAACCAGGTTGAGGAAAAAAACTAAAAAAAAGGGAGTGACTCATGATACAGTCGACGTATCGGACTGTATTGATATTTTGAACCTTGGTTCTGTATGCAGAGCATATATATTCAACCAACGCTACAAAGGAATGTACATTTTAAGGTAAAATCTATGATACTTTCTATGGAAATTGATGCAACATAATTCAAATGTGAACAAATCTGTGGTAAAACGATACATCATATGATAATAGTGACATTTTTAACATTGTTAAAGTTTTTAACGATAAGTATATCTTGTAAAATGTGAACCAATGAAAATAAGTAGACCATGTTAATGTGATTGATTAAAATTTTGATGTAACTTGTGATAAAAATTTCGAAATGCATGACTCATGTTTTAATGTTGAAATGTTGATGGATTGGGCTTGACATATATCCACCTTAAACCAACTCTCAAACAAAACCCAATCAAGTTTGGTCCAACCCTAACTTGATATGGTTGGATCAATGTGGATTACCACTTAGTCCGACCCATTGGTAGGGGTGTTCATAAAAAATCAAAAAACTGAACTGAATTGAGAAAACTGAACCAAAAAAAAGTGGTTAACCAAACCAATTGGTTTGGTTTTGGTTTGATATTTTTTTAAAAAATGAATTAATGGACTGGTTTGGTTTTCAATTAACCTAGAAAAAAACTGGTGGCTAACTGAACCAAGTGGTATATATATTTTTAATTATTATATATGTGTGTGTGTATTTGTGTATGTATGTATGTATGTATGTATAATATATATTATAAATATAAAAAACCAAAAAACTGAAGAACTAAACCAGTCAATCAGTTAACAATGGCATCGGTTGGTTCGGGGAATTGTAAAAACCAGAAATACCGGTTCGATTTCAAAAAAGAGCCCACAGTTTGGTTTAACCGAACCATAAGCACCCCTACATGCCATTGGCATTCTTACATTTGGGTTATTTGGAAGACACATGACAAGGTCGTTGTTCCAGGCTGTTGAAGCAAACTGTTAAGGGATCAAATGGAATCAGTTATAGGTAGATTTGGTTTACACTTGAATCCAAATCAGATTTTGGATTCAAATTGAATTCAGATTGCAATCAAGTGGACTTATTCATGGGTCGGGATCGAGCTTGGCTTTTGCCAAAATTTGAATGGGCTCGGCCTGAAGCTCAAGCCCAATACAGTGTAAAGTTAGGCCCAAACCCAACCCATGAATAGGTCTAAATCAAATATTGAGTAGTATAAATAAATTAAACTACAATGATCAAAAATATTATATAATATTTATAAAATGAACTAAAAATGATTTTGATATTTTATTTCATGAACAAAATGTATCGAATTTTTAGGTAAAAATATGTATGGAAAATTTAATTGTATGAAACTTAAACTTATGACAATTTAGTAAAAAAATAGAACATTCAAGCCAACTTTTCTTATAAATATAATATAAATTTTAAGTATATACTGGCATATATATTTAAAATCAAATTAAGTTGGATTATATCATATGAGCTACAACTTTAAACTGAGCCTCAAGGGTAAAACTACAATTTTAAACTCTCATATTTTTGTTGTTCATAAAGTTTGTATTGTATTTTTTTCTGTAGAAATCAACCTTAGTAGTAACTTCATAAGCATTTTGGACATTTTTGTGCTTCTTATTAGAGGATTTTAATAGAGGGGTACACTTGCAATTATATCAAAAAGTTCAAAAAGGTAATTGAAATTACCAAACTTTAGGGGAGGCTTCAGCAATCAACCCTTTCTTTTCTTTTTTTCTTTTTTTTTTTTTTCAGGTTGACCCCTCAAGCAATATTTGATGAAAAAACTAGAAAGTTCATTCTGTTAGAAAAATAGCTTATCATGCTTGTTTTAATGGCATCTCAAGGCAGCTCCTCAAGTAAAGCTTCAACCCTTATAAGGAACCCTAAGAGCTAAGTCGAACCGTCTCCCCACTAAGCGTATCTCACACATGCTCCACAGAACATCCTAATTGTGCATTGAGAATAGATGTATCACAGATGTATATATTTATATATTTATGTATTTTTTGTTACAATTATTTATATATCTGTGTATATATGTATTTATTATCTATTTATACAAACAAAATTTAAGATAAGTCAATTTTTTTCTAAAACATGATAACTATGTTCTTCTACACATAACAATGCTAATATTCAATTAACACATGAGCCCTTAGGCTGTGTTTGTTTTGAAAGTGTTGAAGAGTCGATTAATGCATGTGACTGTGATAGCGACACAGCAGAGGAGAAGCCAACAAATAAATATATGAAATATACTGTACAGCTAGCCTACAATGAAGGCAAGATTCCAGTCACATAATAATTGACCCAACTTAACCACAAAGATCTGTTACAACCCTTTTGTATTTCAATTTTCATATTCTGTATTGGTGTATACTATATATACTGTAAAACTGAACATAAGAAATACAACTTGAATTCTCTCATCCTTACGGTATGTTTGGTTTGAAGGAAAAAGTAGGGAAAGGTGGAGAAACCTATATAAAATCGGATTTAGTCAGTGCAAAATTCGTTCGAACAGCCATCATAGCCTTGCATTGGAAATATCTCTCCATGAAATAAAGCATAGAAGTATGGAGATGTTCCCGATGTAAGGCTGTAAAGGCTGTTTGAACAGTGTTCAAACGGGCCTTGCACTGACTGAAGCCAATCTCTCCTTCCCTATCTTTTCCTTCAAACCAAATATAGCCTAAGTGAAAGAAATGGTAGGTAAGGGCAGGAAAACCTATACAAGGAATACTAGGAAGTAGAGAACTCAAAGGTACCGAAAATGTTGTATAGGTTTGAAAAGAGTCAAACCATTACAAGATTTTCATGGGTTTCCTTGCCTTCTTTTCCCTTTATGATCTTTCAAACCAAACATAGAATTAGAGTCTAGAAAATAGGTGCATTTGACAAAAGGAAGTAGAGAAGTCCAAGCCCAACAAACCTGAACCCAACTTGAAGTTTTAAAATTGGGTTAAGGTTAGGATTGGGGGTTCAATAACTTGGGTTGGGTTAGGGTTGACCTCAACCTAACCCAACCCATCCTTCGTTTCAAAATTTCAAACTAGTTAGGCTTAGACATAAAACACTAATAATGATGTCGTTTCCATATCAATTAATGGTAATGACCAATTTTTCTTTTTTTTTTTCTTTTTGTTGTGTTTTTGCATGTTTATCTATTTTTATGCTTTTATTATATGATTAATGATGTTATGGGCTCAGACAATTGAATTGTCAACTCACCATATGCCGAGATGGTTGGATAGGGTTCGAGTTAGGCAAGTTGAACTAGGTTTAAGCTCAACCCAAGACCAACCCTAAGAATTGGGCCTAAAGCCCAAGACCAACCCTAAGAATTGGGCCTAAAGCCCAAGCCCAGCCTAAAACCAAGGTCAAGCCCAAACTATCTAATCCAAGCCCAGTTTGATGCACTCAGGTTGGCCTAGGTTAGAGGTGTAAATCGGGTCGTGCTAGCCCACGGACCGCAGGTTGGCACGGCCCAACCCACAACCTGGGCCCATGTCACGACCCATATATATATATATATATATATATATATATATATATATATAGTATATAATATATTAATAAAATAAATATTTTTTAATTTTATTATACTAATTTATTTAATTATTGCATATATAAGCAATTTTATACACAAAATTCATATAAACTTAAAATTTTAGGTTTTTTTGTTAACTTTTTAAAAATAAATAGCTTTGGCCCGATACATGGCCCAACTTGGTCCAAGGCTCAGCCCACAGGCCCACATGGGCCCAGGCCATGCCGACCCCCAAATTTTTCACCGGGGAGGGCGGCACAGCCCGTGATAGCCCGCGGGCCACCCACGTGCCGTGCTATGCCAGCCCAGCACGGTCCACTTTACACCTCTAGCCTAGGCTAGGTTGGACAATCAGCTCACACTAAAAATTAATATACAATTATTTGCATTTGTATGCATATGCATGGTTTATTAAAAAATGCATATATGCATGCAATATATGTGTCTATATGACTATATATGCATATATACATGTATATAATCAGACCAAACTCTAGTTGGGATAAGGTTAGGCTGACTAAAAATTAAAATGCCCAAACTTTTGGGCCCATGCCCATCTTAAGGACCGAAAAATCCAAGCCCAGCCCATGGAAGATCACAAGTTGAGTCTGACCAAGTTGCACCTTATTGTTGGATTTCTAACATGGACCCAATCCTTTTTTGTATGCAATATTGAATAATCGGATATTGATATTTTGTTCAATTAGTTGTTTTAGTGTGCATAATATTAGAATGTGAAAGATATTTTGCACTTTTTATAAACATATTTGTGAATCATTTCATAGAGGTAAAGAGAATTAATAATAATATAGAATATTTTGGTTGTGAACAAACTAACCAGATCAATTAATTTATTTATTTTTAATATTAATTGTTAGACATGCGATCTTTGTGATCTTATATTCATATTTGTATTTAGTTTTCTATCATCATCGCTGTCGTCATCCATGCCTTATCCCAACTAACGGGGTCAGCTACATGAATCCAGTTTCACTAATCCTTTCTATTTAAAGCGATGTCCAACGTTAACATGGTGTTTGGTTTCGTTGCCATTTATTTGAAAAATGATGTCAGCTCATTACCACATAGTTGTTTCCCCTAAAATGTTATTTGGTTAAATTGTTTATTAAATAAACATTGGTCTCAATTTGTGTGAGAACTATCTATTGGGGGATTCTTCATTTTAATGTTCCCCAACACCCGGGCGTTTTTTTCACCATTCAACTTATGTGGCGCTTAATGGTGTTTAATTGTCAAAAAATATTTGATAATGAAACCAAACAGCCCTAAATTATTAGTGCTTAAATCATTTATTACACTTCTACCCATGTCCTTTTTTGTCTACCTCCGGCTCTTGTAGCCCCTTTAATGTGTAACATATCAATTCTTTTAATTTATGCAATTGGTAGTCGTTTATGCACGTGTTCAAACCATCTTAGCTACTCTCTTTATTTTATCACGTATTGGAGCTACTCCGAGGCTCCTATAGATAATTTCAATCCTAATTGTATCATTTTTTGTTTTTTCACTTATCAATCTTAGCATTTGCATTTCTACTACATTTTTTTTTGGATATGTTGTTTCTTGATTGCCCAACACTTTATTCATATAACATAGTTGGCTCTACAACTGTTCTTATAGAATTTTCCTTTTAATCTAAGTGGTATTTGCTTATCACATAAAAGTCTAGATGCACCCCCTCTATTTTGCCCATTTTGCTCTAATTCTTTGGGTGACATCCTCATCAATCTTTTCCTAGTTATGAATTATTGAAAAGGTACTAGAAAATGGTCACATTGACTTATATCTTAGTATCCAAACCAATGTTTTTAAAATCAAACAAGACAACGAACCGGTCAAGGGTCTGGTTCTTGGGTTGAATGGTCCAACCATTTGAATCGAACAAACAGCTCATTTTGATAAAAAACAATTAAAAAAAAACGGATAAACTGTTGGATGGTTCGACCGCTTGGGTCAGTGGTTTGTTGACCAAATAAATGGTTTTTGGTGACAGTTTTGGGGTAAAACAGGTCACCTGGTTCCTTGTTTTTCTAATCCAACCATCTAGTCCAGTCCGATTTTGAAAAACATGATCAAAACCATAGTGTATCTTGATTTATATTTTTCTATTATTACTAAATTTACATGTCATATACTCTGTTTTAGTCCTACTTATTTTAAAACTTTTTTGTTTCTAATGCATTTACTTATAAGTTTAATTTTAAATGGATAAATTACAAAGACCCCCTGTACTATGAGGTCTGTGACAAAGACCTCCAATACTTTGTTTTGCAACAAAACCCCCCCTGTACTATGATTGTGAGACAAAGACCCCCTTCCGTTAGTCTTCCATCGAAAAAAGCCGTTAATATTTTTTAATCCCCATACTACCTTTGTAATAACTAGACGAGAAAAACACTGCTCATCTTGCCCAACCATTCGATACTACCCTTTCGTTCATTCACATCTCTCTCTCTCCCCGTCTCTCTTCTTCCCCTTCCCCTTAAGAGCGTCTGGATTGAGCCTATTTAATTCAATCTCGATCTCTCTGTCTCTCCATCTGCCTGCTTTCCTAGCTGTGAAATTGCAGAAACTTCAGCATAAAATGAAAAAATAAATAAAAATTGTACAATGTACATAAAACGTGTGAACAGGGAGCAGTCATTCATGACGCCTCACCATGACTAAAAACCAAGTAGTGACGTGTAAATTAACAGCATTTACAGTTGAAGATGGAGCTTCTTTAGATGGAAACTGAGGACAGAAATCCGATTCAAACTGTTGGAGCTAGTAAATAAGAGCCGATCTGTTCTACTTAACCCTTTTCTTCAGTACCAGATCAAACATCAACCAAGCTCCAAATTGAGATTTCAATCTCGACTTAGATGTCGAAAAGCAATCTCAAGACGACAGACGAGCTTGATTTACACTTTTTAGGGTTTCTAAAGCTGGAGTCATCGATCGAGGAGCTTGGTCCGGTGTAGTTTTATCATAGTATCCAATAATGTGTTTTTTCCACCTCAGCGATTTTATCTTACGTTTCTGTTATTGGATAGAGAGAGTGAAAATAGGAACCAACTCACCATTCACCAAGCCCGTTTTATTTTATTCTATTTTTTATTTTTGTTTACTTTATTAGAGTTTTGAACGGAGAGGGAGGTGAAGGCATCTATGTGGGGTGGCAACGCCATCGGTGAAGGAAGGATTAACAGCGGCACGGGGTCTTCAGGGTCCCGACCCCGAAAGGATTGTTATCATCAAATGTATTTTGATTTCAACTTACCTCTGCAATTGCAAGTGTTGCAGGGGAGGCGGCTCGATTCCTCTTCAAGGGTAGTTGGGAGAGAGAAAGAATGAGAGAGAACTGTGAGGGAAGGAAAAAGAAGAGAAGAAAGGGAAAACAATAGATTAAATAGGTTTAAGAGAACAAGGGCAAAAAAATAAAATAAAATAGAAAAAGTTTAGTGGGGATATTTTGGTAATTTAATATATTCTGTCATCTGACTTAATGGTCAAGAGGGGTCTTTGTCTCACGTTCAAAGTACAAGGGGGGTTTTTGTCCCAAAACAAAGTACATGAGGGTCTTTGTAATTTACCCATTTTAAATTTAATCTTTCATTAGTTTCATCAATTAAAATAATGTCACCTACAAAAAATACATACACCGTAAAACTTCCTTTTGAATGTGTTTAGTCAATTTATATATGATCAATGCAAATAGATAAAGGTTAAGTGTTGAACGTAAACGAAGGCTGTCCTATTGATGTTTTAACATATGGGAAAATCTATGATCCACATGGTATGGAAAGAGTATTGACCAATCAAAAACCACCCATGAATTTTGATAAATAAAACTAGATTGGCTACCACATTTATGATATGAGTTAATTGGTTAATTTTTTTTAGATATCATAATCCTATTGCTATATATATAGTTAGGCCCCTTTCTTTTTTCTAAGATCCACCCTATTATCTCTTTAGGAAGTCTATCATATGTCATTTCTAATCATTGAACACTATATGAAATCTTTCTTATTCTCTCTAATAACAGCAACAACAATTAAATAAAGCATTGAACTAAAACAAAATAATAAATTAAAAAAATAGACAATTACTAGATATTTCAATTAATGACCATTAAATTTCTAAAATCTCTTGCAATTAATCACGATTGAATTCCTAATATTTTTTATTACTTTTAAATATATTTTTAAGATGCAAAAAAAGAAAAAAACTTCTTGGAGAATAAAGAAAAGATGAAGTAAATAAGTAATGCTTACATGGACTCGATACATTCTTACTAAAATCGTTTTTCCTAGCAGAAGTTTAACCAAACGAAGCCTTACTCAATCGAATTAAATGCTCTCTTTCTTGCTAGCAAAGAAAGAAATCATTTCTTTTACGAACTTCGACTTTTGGAAGTTTTCTCTCTGCAACCCCGAGGCCTCCCTTCTATCGTCTATTTTGTCGATGGCTGCCGCAATGGTCGAAGACAGTGGTTTCGAAGATGACCAACTAGCTTCCATGTCGTTGGACGACATCGTTAGGGCATCTCGTCTTTTCGACAACGAAATTCGAGTCCTCAAAGTGGGGAAGCTTTCTGATTACCTCCTAGTTTTGGTTTCCTGGAATTTAAGGGTTTTTTTCCTTGCTGATTTTATCTTTATTTTCTTTGATCACTGAAGGAAGAGTTGCAGAGAACGAATCTGGAGTTAGAATCTGTGAAGGAGAAGATTAAAGAGAACCAGGAGAAGATCAAACTCAACAAACAGCTCCCCTACCTAGTCGGTAACATTGTTGAGGTGAGTGACTTTCTATCTCTACATAAGCATTTTTCTTTTGGGCTTGCTTCGTAAATTAGATCCAGTTTTGGTGGCATTTCTCTTCATTGTTGCTTTGGTTTCTATTCGATGTGCCTATAATGGCCAAGGTCTCCTATTTAAGATTTTCATATTGACCTATGATGCGATAATTGGGTAAACGGAAACCTTGAGTCACACTTTCACTTCATCTTGCTAAAAGTTTTAAAACGAATGAAGAACCAGCTCCTGCATTGATGAAAATTAGTAGCAATACAAATTGTATTAAACGGACTCATTAAACACTCAGAAACCGCTAATTTGATCTAGTGAACCAAATAAAAAGAATATGGCAAATTCCTTGTTAATACATGAAAATGGGGCCAGTTCGCACTAGTATCCACATAAATATATCCCAACTCTCCGCTGCAAATACATGGTAAAATCCTTAAAAAATAACATAAGGTATAGGATCTAACATCTATGGCTGTATAGCAATTCTATCATCAAACTATCAGTCCCTTTATGATGCCAATATTGTTACTTTGTCAAAAATACATCTTCTCATAGTCTTTAGACCGAAGTTCCTGGGAATAGGAATTATAGTATGCTATTTCATGACATTGTGGGTCAAATGTATGGGTCTTGGCTTTTTTGGAAAGATGGTTCTAGCATTTCTTTTGTTGGGTTCTTGTATTTATAATAGAATTTTCTTTCAGTTATGTTGATATTTTTCTTGAAATTTCATATGCCATTTACTTGAGCTTCATGGATCTACATTTTCATACTTAATTGACTCTGTTGCATGGTGTGGATGCGCATTTTGCTAGATTTCTTCTGATGGCTCTCAATTGATCTTTTTGTCTTTTAAGATTTTGGAGATGAACCCAGAAGATGAGGTTGAAGAGGATGGTGCAAATGTTGATCTGGACTCACAAAGGAAGGGGAAATGTGTTGTGCTAAAGACATCTACCCGTCAGGTACAATGACACTTTTCCCTTGTATGTAATTGAATTTCTCTTGCAGTAACTTTCTGTCCATGTTTCTTTCGTTTTCAACATGATTGGACCTTTTAAACGAGTCTTGACCAACCATTTTCTTTTTGAGGATATATCTATTCTTTGAGACAATTGGTGGGTTATGGATGGAGTCAGTTATATGATAAGATGCTGTGCATGTTTCTATCCCTACCAACATTATTAAGGGCCCTTTAGATGAAAAATATCCTTGATAAACTGTTTTTATTTTAAGGATCTGTGTTTTTCTTCAGACAATGGATGTGATTAAGGATGAATTCAATTGTACAATAACAGCATAGTATGTTATTAACCATCACCTTTAAATCATGAACGACATATGTCCGTGAGAATGACAGTTTTTACAATTGCTGAAGTCTCAAATCATATTGGCTGAAAGAAAAAAGCTGCACTTTGAAGGCAAGAATAGCTGAATAGGCACAACTGTCATTAGGTCCCTTCTTTTTCTGTCTGTCTTCATTCTCAAAGAATTCATTGGCCTCAACACTGCCACAAATTTCTTTTATTTCTGGATGGGAGATCTCATAGCTCATGGAAGCAACTATTTTCTTTTCATATGGCAGTAAAGCTAACACTACACATACTTTTTTTAACAATATGGATTTGTATACAAGCTTTATCCTTCATACTTAAGAAAATCCCACACTGATTCAAAAGGGACAAAAGGGCAAATTGGAACATGTTATTCTGGTATTTTGGTTCAACTATACCGCCTATATTATTTGTTTTGGATAAAATTAGTACACATGCTTGTAATTTGCATAGTATCAATTTTACTTTAAATGTTTCACATGGTGGGTGCACAAGTTGATAAAAGTTGGTAGAAAGATCTGTTTCAGGTATCTATCTGTACATGTAACAATGACATCATGTTTTTTTTTTATGAATGAAGATAATTCATTAATCCAGAAAAATAAGGCAATACAAGAAACCCAAGAAGAGTTACGAGCTGTTACCTCTTCTAACAAAGTATTACATCAAATTAGAAACAGAAATAACCAGAAATAAAATTACAGAGCAGCCCAAAATAAATGTTCCCTTGAAGCCCGTTGCTTAGCTAATCCATCCACTAAGGTATTTGCTGATCTTCCCACCCAAAGAGAGGTAACAGTCATGTTTCTTGTGAGCCAGTTGGCTTTCCTTAATAAGTCTCTGTGTCGCCACATAGCTGAAGCTGGGTCTGTCAGCCATCCCACAACAATCTTAGAGTCTCCTTCAACTACCAAGTGCTGAACTCCTAATTGTTTTGCAATCTCAATACCTTGTACCGTCGCTAAAATCTCAGCTCTATTGGAGTCTCCTATTCCCACGGGGCCTGAAAACAATGCTAAGATGTTACTCTCCTTATCTCTCAGCACCCCTCCTATCCTCGATGGGCCTGGGTTTCCTTGGCTGCTTCCATCAAAGTTCAGCTTTTGCCCATCTTTTAGGCGAAGGCATCCACACTGTAAATTCTTTGTCCTTCCTTGTATGGCTGTTAGCCACCGCATTCAGTTTCTCCAAATATTATCAAGGGGAAATGTATGAAAGAAGTCTATAGTTCTTAACCAATGAATGGCCTTAGTCAAGATACAATCCTCAACAGCCTTAATGCTTCTTTCCTTTTCCTTGAATACCCTTTCATTCCTTTCTTCCCAGATTGTCCACAAGGCGGCTGCTCTAATACACCTTCACATCATTTTTCCTTTTTTTGTAGGTCACACAAAAAAGGAAGGATAGAACAGTTGACTCAAGTCTGTGGACAGATTCCACTTGCACCCAAACAAAGAAAAAAATCCAATTCCAAATAGCACTAGAAAAGGAACAAGATACAAGTAAGGGGGAGCAATCCTCACCACTAGCCCTGCAAAGTACACACCAGTCAGGGGACAAACACATGAAAGGCCTTTTCTTCTGCAAGTAGTCCAAGGTATTAATCTTTCTATAAAACACCTCCCAGCAGAAAATAATAATTTTAGGTGGAACTAGTCTAGACCATATCTCCTTGGTTAGAAAACCCTACTGTCCTAGGGAAGGGCAAAGGGACTTATAAAAGGAAGCACAAGTGAAGAAACCTTTTGGATGAGGGGACCATAATCTCACATCCAGACTAAGAGGGTCCAGAAAGACACTGCCAAGAAGAGACAACAGATCTGAAACACTGTTAAGTTCATCATTCCTCAGACCTCTCCGAAAGCCAAAGTCCAAATTTAAGGAAGAGGGTGAAAATGGGAGATAGCTTTTTCCTTGTAAAGGGAAAGAGAATAGAGAGACGGGAATTGGTCTTTAAGGGCAACGGTACCCACCCAAGTGTCTTCCCAAAATAAATCAGAGTTACCAGAATTGGCATCATACTTGACAAAGTTGGGAAATTGAGGGAGGATACTTTGGATTGCTTTCCAAGGAGATGCCAACGTAGCTTGACGTGATACACCCACATCCCATTCATTTTCTAGTTTGCCATGTATACTAGCTATCACTTCATGCCACAACCTCTCCCTTTCTCTAGGCCACCTCCACAACCATTTTCCTAAGAAAGCTTTATTCTTTAGAGTTAACCGTCCTAATCCCAGTCCACCTTCCTCTTTACTCCTACAAACTATTTCCTAGTTGATTAGGTGATCTTTCTTTTCCTCCCCTGGCTCATTAAGAAAAGTTCCCATTAATCTCTCCAACTTCTTAGCCTCCCTATTAGGAATCCTAAAAATGGAGAAAAAATAGACCGGTAGGTTTGCTAGGGTAGCTCTCAATAAAGTCACTATACCCCCTATGGAGATGTAGTTCTTTTTCCAATAAGCTAATCTTTTCTCAAACTTTTCCATAACTAGGGTCCAAAAACTACTCTCTTTTGGGTTAGCCCCTAGAGGGAGACCTATGTACTACAAGGGCCACAAGAAGAGACGGGACAACCTAAACAATCTGCCACAAACTGAAGAATCCCCTCATTCATATTAACACCTACCACACAACTCTTATCCAGGTTTATCTTCAAATTGGAGACTTTCCCAAAGTGTTGTAACAATGCTTTGAGGTTCCTCACTTTTTGCCTGTCATCCCCTTCACAAAATATTATGATATCATATGTAACGTTCACCCCAGTCCTTCTTCCCACTCAGAGAGAGAGAGATGTTGGGATATACGTAACAATGCTTTGAGGTTTCTCATTTATCTTTTTTATTGGAATTCATATTTTTTGCCAAATTTAATTAAGCTTCTAAAATATATATTTTGTATAATGTGGTTTATTTAAACATATTGTTTTATATATTTCAAGTGTTAGTGTACACTACAATTGTCTATGCTATCCATGTCATGTTGGGTATGTATTGCATCTGATACTGGTATGTAGACCTGTTCATGGGCTGGGCTTGGGCTTAGCTTCTGCTAAAATTTGAATGGCCCCGGCCCAAAGCAGTGTAAGCCCGAAGCCTGGCCCATAACAGGCTTACTGGTATGTTAGGCATGTGCAGGTATCCAGATATCATATTTCATAGATTCCATGCAAATAACCTTCTACGGGTGTTCTTTTTTTTTTATCAATAACCACATTTCACTAATTAATCACAAAAATATTACAAGGATGAAGATAAACTTTCTTATCTTCCAACTGGAGCTTGAGCTCCCAAGAACAGAAAAAGGAAAAAATTACAGTTGTGCCCAAAAAATTAACTCCCTCTCAACTCCTTGCTTAGCTAACCCATCAGCAAAGGAGTTAGCTGATCTTTTCACCCAGCTGATCTTGATTTCCATTTCTTGAACCAGCCATCTAAATTTCCTCCTCTTATTACTGTACATCCATAAACTGCTATTTCTTTATTCAGCCACCCTACCACCACCACCGAGTCCCCTTCAATGATGAGTTTTCTTATATTCATCTCCTTGGCTCTTTGGACTCCTAGAACTGCAAAAATCTCAGCCCTGAGAGAATCACCCACTCCAATTGGGCCTGAAAACATGGCTGAAACAAGCCCATTCTCATCCCTAAACACACCTCCAATCCCCGATTGTCCAGGATTCCCCCGACTACTCCCATCAATGTTTAGTTTTAAAAAACCGGCCAGTGGGGGGGGTCCAAAACACCTTCTATGGATGTTCTTTTTTTTTATTTTTTTATATTGCTATTGCTAATTTACATGAACCTAATTATTTTGGAAAATATCCTTGTATTATATGAATTAAACTGTACAGTTGTGTTTAGATTTTCCTGAACTTGGATGTGTCAGACACCTTCTATTACTGTTAGAGAATATACATAGTTTACTACAGTATGCCTATAACATTTTACTATATTCTGCATGGTAGTATGTTCCCGAGTTGTAGACAATTCTTCATTTGGAGGTTATTCAGGTTCTTATACAGTCAATTCTTGAATGTAGACAATCTTTCTGCCAGTTGTTGGACTTGTTGATCCGGATAAGCTTAAACCTGGCGATTTAGTTGGTGTTAATAAAGACAGCTACTTGATTTTAGATACTCTTCCTTCTGAATATGATTCACGTGTAAAGGCAATGGAGGTTGATGAAAAACCAACTGAAGATTATAATGATATTGGTGGCCTTGAAAAGCAGGTAAATGAATGCCTTTTGAGCTACTAGATGTATGCGTAGATTTGTTTGTGTATGTTTATTTGGTAATAGGAGTTCTCTTTCCTAGTTCTTAAGATTAATGATGGGCTATACTAGGATCAGCAAGAGACCAGTTTGGAGCTATGGCACTTGGTGCAATCTCTATCTATCCTAGTCCCACATGTCAATAGGCTAAAAGATTCATGACTAAGGCACTGTTCCAGGCTTCCAGCACTATATTATAACAGCATTTTGATTTACTTTGAAAATTAGAGGTTTCTAGAATCTGCACTTGGTTACTTATTATGGAATCTTTTACAAATAATGATAATAGTAATAGTTAGTATGGTAGGCCCAACAGGGCACTGGATGGGTGGTTATAGTGCATCTAGGGAGACTTGTCAATGAAATTTAACATATTAGGAACAAAATATAAAGTTGGATTTGTTAATTTGTTTTATTGTAATCTGTAAGCCTCTTAACTGGTGCTCATTCCTATTTAGTTGTATGGACTTTGAAAAAAATTGCTGGTTCAAGTGTTGGAATATAAAAAGGGCATCATATAGTACCCAGGACTTTTCTTCCAAAAATGCAATGAAGTTCTTTGTGTCCAAGCAGCTCATAAAAAATATAGGGAATGCTAAATATTAAATATTTTGGCCTATTTTGTGTCAATCTAATGTTTTGTTTTATTTGATGAGGCCTATTTGTTTGTTCTGGCAGATACAAGAACTTGTTGAGGCCATTGTTTTACCCATGACCCACAAAGAGAGGTTTCAGAAATTAGGAATTCGTCCTCCAAAAGGAGTGCTTTTGTATGGGCCTCCTGGAACAGGAAAAACATTAATGGCTCGTGCATGTGCAGCACAGACAAATGCTACATTTTTGTAGTTAGCTGGTCCACAGTTAGTTCAGGTCATTGTTCTACCATAAAGAAAAGGCTAAAATGTTGCTGATGCTGTTTATGTTCTTCAAGCATTCTCTCCTTACTGTTGGCGATCTGTTATCTTATGTTTGTTCTGTTGCAAATAGAGTATTGCTTTCTCATTATTAACTTYGAAGAATTAATTACTTCCTTCTCATTTAGAGTTAATAATCCTCATTGTCAAAAGGTTATTTGATTTTCAACATTAACAAATCAGGAGTATGTTCTGTTTATTTACTTTCATTTAAGGATAYTTATCTGTATGTGGTTTAAAATACATGTAAGTAGGAAATTTTATTTTATTATTATGCTGGTCCTCTCCCAGTTGATATCAAGACCAGCCATTTGTTTGCAATGCTGCAATGTGCCTAATGATGATAAGTTTTCATCAATTTAGTTCATCTAGAATTTTTTCATAGTAAAGTTCTTATAGAAAATTTTATTTCTTTCGTGAAAATATAGGATTTCAGTTTTTAGATTCATTAATCTGTTATTCTTGTTTTTCATTAATGTTGTAGGTGATGATGGCTTAAAAAATCATTCTACTTTGTTCTTTATACTTTTCCTTGTGAAATTTGATTTAACTCTAACTTTTTTCTATTTTCAATGAAGAATGAGTTTTTATATTGAGCTTTTAACAGAGTAAGCAAAAGAAAAAAGAACAAGAAGGATTTTTTAAGGAACAGAGTATGTAAGTTTTTTTCACTTTTTCCTACTTGGTATTTGTGATCTTGGATCTTATAATTGATTCATTTTGATTTGTAAAACCTGGATTATTATACACATTTCCTTTGTGGTGGATTGCCTGCTTTTTGACAAAGTTCTCCTGAATTTCATTTACCGTTGGTACTCTAGGATAGTATATGATGCAACTAGCTGATCTTCTCCTTGAAAGAAGCATTTAGTCAACATTTCTTTCTTTTTTATCTCTATTTCTCATAAACTGAAATTAGACATATGCCTATCTTTTCTCCTGCTAGGCTGCTACAACATTACATGATTTTTCCCCTTTGTACATGTCAATTGATTCCATCATTCCATTTGGCTTTTTATTTTTTTTCCTGTTCTGTCTCTAGGTAGTCCCTTGAGCATTTTGGTGCTACAGTATCTGGATAATTTCTATGGGTTGGTTTCTTTTTGATGTTTAAGTATATGCTATTCCTCATTTTTTTTTTCTTTTGACTTGGAAAATGTTCAGATGTTCATTGGAGATGGAGCCAAACTTGTTCGTGATGCTTTTCAACTTGCAAAGGAGAAATCACCTTGCATTATATTTATAGATGAGATTGATGCCATTGGAACTAAGCGGTTTGATAGGTATGTCTTGTTCCTTTTTTATTCTTTTGCAATTCTCTAAGCATTTCTTACGATTACAATCTTTTGAAGCATTGTTTCTCTGAGGATTAATAGATGAATGATGTTGATTTTGAATGATGGGTCAAAACATTTATGACCTTGATAAAGAATAGTCTTTGCAGCCAAATATTGTGTCTGGTGTACTTGCTGAAATAGAATTTTTATGTATCAGTTCCATAGAAAAGTATGGAAGTCTAGTTCCTTACAAGATTGCCAAGAAGATAGTTCCAATGCCTATTTTGGGTGATGGACCAAAACCTTTTTTTCTTTTTTTTCCTTTCAAGGAAAAACCTATCTATAGTTCCCTTATACACCCTTTGATAATTTATTCTGGAAAAGTAGATCCCAAATACAACACTCTCCTTTTGGACCCAGGCCTATCCAGGGAATCTGCTAGGATATTAACTAATCTTCTATCCCATCTGAATGGGGAGTTCCCCATGACTGCTAGTAATCTAGATTCCCTTGCCCAGCTTGCTTTTATCCAGTCCATTTTCCACTCCATTGCTCAACTTGCTTTCAGTTTCATCTCCTATTCATGTGCCTGAAGATATTCTTGAAGGCAAGCTGATTTCTACAAGTTAGGGGCTAACAAAAGTTTCTTGTGAAGCAGAAGAACTAACCTCTGTCAAAATGTACATAGGTTATGGCTAAAGAGTTACAACTTACAATGTCTCAACCTCAATCTCTGTGAGTGGTACCATGTCTTCAACTCGTCAGGGATGAGTTCTTTCACTTTGAGGAGAGATGATGGATATCATCCTATGCATTTGAAGAGCTTATATAAAATGAAAAGAAAGAAAAAAATCTCTGTATCGGAAGATATACTCTAGATGTAAAAGCAGAAACTAATAAGCAAGTTCTGGTTTGGCAAAGTGATAATTCTTGGGAGTTTATCTGGTTTGGCTGTAAGGGTATTTTGGTATTTTAGTTTATTAGTAGTGGGATTCAATCAGTAGGAGTAATTAGTCTAGTCATTATTAGGGAGGGAGTTATAGATGTTAGTCTTACTACAGGGTCTGGTGCCACCATTGTAATTATAGCGAACAGTGTTCCATCCTAAACCTTTCCACCTACAGTTTGTTCTCTTGTCTTATTATTGCAATAGATGAATGAATGAAATTTGAATGTTGATTTCCTTTGCATGTCTGCTTTATGGAGTGGTTCCAATAAAACTCGAGTGATTCAAGTTCCCTTGCAATGCTTTGGGTCTCTCTTTTTCTCTCTCTCCATTAAATCAATTATGTTTGATATCCAGATGTTGTATGAGATAGATACAGACTGTTAACCTTTTCTTGTTTTTTCAATAGTCCTGCTAAGATGTGATTGATCTTCTGCTCTTCTTTATTGTAGTGAAGTAAGCGGGGATAGGGAGGTGCAACGAACAATGTTGGAGTTACTTAACCAGCTTGATGGTTTTAGCAGTGATGACAGGATAAAGGTTTGTAATTCTATGCTTTGTAGTGTTTGATTTTCTATCATCAGTGGAAGTTATTTATGATGGATATGAAACTTGCATTATTTTTCTAATGTTCCTTGTTAGTAGTTCATATTAACAGTTTTCTAATCATTTTAATTTTTAAAATGTTCTTCATGAGATAATTTTATGGCGCTTGTTTCTGCCTTGAGAGCATGTATTATATATTAGACTTCCTAAACCTGAGTATACTGTCTTGGCTTCTTCCTAAGATCTATAACAATTCTTGGACAAGAGGAACACAATCATGAATGCTGACAGCCTGGATTTTGGACAACCCTTGAATTGTTCATGTACAAAATGCATTATTTCTTTATGACCTGATCATTTACTTGAGGCATCCATAAGCAAAGTATATGGGATTTAATCCAAGACCAAAGGTTCTATTCCTCCTGCCATTGAAGTAAATAAGAAAACAAAATGTATATTTTATGATTGAGCAATTTTGAAAGATGTAGAGAGACTAGGCCGAATGGGCCCTAGTATTTGTTTTATGTTGAAGCAGTGTTTTATTTATTTTATGTGTAGAGAGACTAGGCTGAACCCCAGGCCCAGCATGGCCCGGACCATCGTGTCGGGCCGAGCACGGCTCGCGTTCCGTCCTGACACGGCCCGATTTACACCTCTACTTTCTCTTCTTTTCCATCTTCTTTTCTCTCTCTTTCTTTTCTGCTATAATCTGCATTTTTCTATCAGATTTACATTTAAAGACAATTCGAACATCGTGCTTTCCTAGATGATCAGTAAGAGCCTTCTTTAATCAAACATTGTACTTTGTCTACCTTTCGTATTCTAGAAGGGGTTGCTAAGAAATTAGAAAAAATCATGAGAGACTTCCTTTGGGGACTAGGTGAGACAAAGGACCATTTGGTGAATTAGGACGTGGTTTCCAGGAGTAGAGGGGGCTAGGTATTAAGAATTTAAGACCCTAACATGGATTTATTTGGGCTTGCCTCAAGGGCTTGGTACAAAGGCGGCTCATAGAATTAGGAATTAAATATGTTTAACATCATGTTATCTATTTGAAATGGTGCATTTAGAAAAGAAATAGAGAAATTGAAAGTTTGGCATACTTGAATATGTTTTATATGCTATATTTGATTTTATTATTTGCATTTTTGCTTTGAATATGTTTTATATGTTATGGTTATTTATTTTAATTTGAGCTAATGAGCTTTTTAAAATATTTAGTTTAAAATTAAAATTTATATTTTTAATTAATATTATTTTCTTTTTTTTTTGCAAATTCTTCACATATATTTTGATTTTTTTTGTTTTTTTTTTAATTTCATGCCAAAAAGGCGTGCACCTCACATTCTTCCTCAAGCATGAGGTGCAAAATGTCTTTTGCACTTTTTTTTTGTGCCTAGCGCTTTTAAAACACTAGGAGAGACTGCTGATTGCCTAGCATAAAAAAAGAAAAAGGTTTCTGAATAGGAGGTTAGCAGATGGAGGTTGCTTTCACAACTTGCCATAGCACATATATGGTGATACTTTTCACATGAAAATTTTCTCTACTTTGTCTCAAGGATGACCTGGGTTTTGTATTAGAACTTGTAGTGTTGTTTAGTACATGCAGGGGCCTAATAGTTGGTTATCAAAAGGTATACATGTATAAAATCCTTTTGTATCTGAGATAAGGGTGCCTTGCCCTTAGGGGTGTAAACGGATCGGATTCGAATCAGATCAGGTAATATTCGAATTCGAATCCGATTAAAAAAATTCGATATCCGAATTCGATTTGATATCCGACGGATATTGAAAATTAATATTTAAATTCGAATCTAATTAAATATTTGAATATTTCGATTCGATTTGAATTCGACTAATTAATTATTTTAGGTAATTAATAAATATATAAAATAAATATTTTATTTATATAAAGTATATAAATATATAAATTATTTATATAATTTAATTATTTTATATATAAATTATATAAAACATTTAAAAATTTTATATATTATATATAAGAATTAAATAATCGTTCGAATTCGGATATTTATCAAATCGAATCAGGTCATATCCGAATTCGATTCAATTATGTCGAATCTCAAATTCGAAATTGGATTTTCGAATACCGTTGACACCCCTACTTGCCCTCCTCTCTGTTTTTGGAATGAAATCTCAGACTTGCTTATCAAAAGACTTTATTTTTTATGGCCTGAAACAAGTTTCTAATGACCTATCATTTTGCTGAGAGAAAATAATTTCTGATTTTGATGTGCCTTCTATGTGCAAAGTTGTTTGGGAGACCATTCACCTTCTCTTCCCCTATTGTTCATTCACCCAAAAGCTTTGGAGCTGATTCCAAGTCATTGGACTTCTTGTTTTTCATTGAGAAGATGGTCTTGTTCCAGGGTAGGCATTTTGTGAAAGAGTTTGGTGGAATTTGTGGTGTTATACTGTTATCCTAAAATCTTTATCCATGTATGGAAGGAAGACGCACAAAAGAATTGCACAAGAATCCTACTGACATATTCCCCTTATTATCATCAGAAAAACAATGCTCTGACTTGAAGTTTAGTAATTATTGTTACAGACCAAGGCTTCATTGACCAAGCATGGTAATTATGTTTCCATTCTCAATGTTGTGTCAGTTTCTTGAATGATCAAATTTATTATCATTTTTCATTTTTTGTATCTTTTATCTGGGGATAAATGTATATATTGTCATATCAGTAATGCTTAATGTGATATTAAGGGTTAGGATTTTGGTAATACACAGGTCATAGCAGCAACCAATAGAGCTGATATTCTGGATCCTGCTCTTATGCGTTCTGGTCGACTAGATCGCAAAATTGAGTTCCCTCATCCAACCGAAGAAGCAAGAGCCAGAATACTGCAGGTACTCTTGGTTTCTTTCCAATTCTATATGTGCTGCATCCTCTTTTCCACTACTTAGTCATTTTCTTCTATGGAATTACAGATCCATTCAAGAAAAATGAATGTGCGTCCTGATGTGAATTTTGAAGAGCTTGCTCGTTCAACAGATGACTTCAACGGGGCACAACTAAAAGCCGTGTGTGTAGAAGCTGGCATGCTAGCCCTTCGCCGTGATGCAACTGAGGTTCATTCCTTCCCATTCCACCTTGTCCACTTTTTCAGTAGTTTTCTGCCATGAGACACTTCACTAACTACTATCAATCCTGCACTAAACTCATGGATTTATGAAATCTAAAACAATGACCCAGAAGCACTGTGGTTCCTGCTCGTCTTTGTCATATCTGTCATTGTAATCAATGTTTATCCTTTTTCTTCCCATTATCTTTGTCACCCTTGCATTGCTGGTGTTGCTGGGTCTGAGTGTAGATTGGGATTCAAAAATTGGGTGGTCTATAACACTTCTGTCTGTGCTATCCACCTATGCCTGGTCAAAATATACCTTGTAATAATACTGCTTCCCTTAACATTTGCAATCCGGTTTTCCCAGTCCATCCAGAATTATGTGGTGTGTCACCCATGTTTGATATTTCTCTTTTGTCCTTGTCACTTTATGGCAGTTGACACCATTGCCCTTTCAATTACCATTTTTTTCCTTGTAATGGAATTTCGTTATTGTATTTTCAGTTTCTTTGTAGTGTTATCATTGAATTATATAAAACCATTTTGATGGGGGTTGGACGTAAAACACAATGTTTGTTGTGATTCAGGTAACCCATGAAGATTTCAATGAAGGAATTATTCAGGTCCAAGCTAAGAAGAAATCAAGCTTAAATTATTATGCTTAGTTCCATACTATTCCTTGTGGGTTCTATCCTGTGAAAATTCAAGCGACTTATTTGCTATCTTTCCAACAAAGAGCTGCAATGGAGAACTGAGCCACTATAGAGATGATGTTGCCTTGCATGAATCTGCTAAAGAATGGTTTTATCCAAGCCTCCTGTTCACTTTGACTTTGAGAGACTGGTCTCGTCTTGGGAGTTGGGAGATACTCTGCAGCAACAAAATCAGCTAATATTTCCTTGAAAGTTGAAACGTTTCAGGAGACTTTGCAATTCATAGAGATATATTGGTAACAGCAGTTCCATAGAGTTATGCCTATTTTGGTGCAGACAGCCTTCAAACAGGCATCAACTTGACCTATCTACATACAGCAAAAAACATTTGCAGAACTATGCCAAAGTGCCAAACAACTGAACAAAACCTAGAAATATAATGCACTTTTATTGTCTTAGCTAGATGGTTGTCTGGTTTTAATCTAATAGCTGAATAGTCACATTTTAATGTTTTATAATTCTAACTACTACCGAGGTGAAATATAGCCTTAATCTTATGGTCGACTTTCCATCACTGGAACTGTGGGTAATTTCATGTGGATTAGTAAGACAGTTCCCATATCATATGACTCAACCCATTTTATAGCTTTTGTTCTTCCTCTATGCAAGGTTCAAAATATCGATACAGTCTGGCTGATAGGGGCGTATTGAGCTGTATCAGCCCTCTTTTTTTTTTTTTTTTTTCTTTTTGTGGGTCAGAGGGGTTGGTCCAAGGTCCTTCTACCTCCTGAACTGAGTTAAACCCCGAAACACCCCTTATAGGGGCGTATCAGGAGGTTCCCGATATGTATATCGAAATTTCGAACTTTGCCTCTATTATGTATTATTTTGCAGCGTCATGAAAAGTAGGCTGTACCTTAGTTTTTAGTCTAAGAAAAATTTTTACCATTTTGGTATTAAACAAGGGCCATCTTTGACCCCAACCCCACTAATACCGAACAAACTGAAGCAGAAACAGGGGTTGTTTTACTGCGAGAAAGATGAGTGAGGGGTCCTGTGGGACAAACCTCTTGGTCCTGGTCCTTCTAACTGGATGGTAGATGCTATTAAAATCCATTTCGATCTACACGTGATGCGTGTATGAAGTATGATGTTGATTCAACTAATAAGCTGAAATCTTCTGTCAGTGCAATTGCTTAATAAGTTAACATGACCAACTCACCGACATCCATTTGGATCGAGATTCCCCCTGACCCTAACCCTTTGTTTGGTCTAATAGTAAATAAACAGGATGTTTAAGTTGAGGGAAAAGTTCTTCAAGGAATCTCTTATTTTCCATCAAACCAAACACAACTAATCCTTTTATTTTATTTTATTTTATTTTTTTTGGGGGGGGGGAGGGTAAATTGAGAGACAAATTAGTACCCGCGGGGGTGAGCCCTACCAGCAGCATCCAAGAAAACACTCCTCTTGATTAAGACCTTTGTTATGGATGATGGATCTTCAAGTAGCCTTGTAGATATTACCTTCTAGCTTCTATGATGATGGATGACTCATTAACCTGTAGGCCTGTAAATGGTATTCGAAAATCCGAATTCGAATTCGAGATTCGATACAATTGAATCGAATTCAAATATATAGTGATCCAATCCGATAAATATTCAAACCGATATATATATATATATATATATATATATATATA